GTCAAAAGACCAAAAAGCTCTGTCCCTCTCTGATTACATTTGACCCTGCTGATTTTCGAGGCCTCCTTCATGGATTGGTGGTGCAGGAGCAGCTTGTAAAAAGTTTGGTGAGTCACAGAACAAGGAGTTTGGAGCAAACAACACATCAGAAGCTGTTTTTGTGCCGCAAACCAGAGTCCCCCTCTGACAAAGACAAGTTGTTCTGGGGTTTTTTGAGGGAGGGTCATTACGGGCACAGGTCCGAGGACCTTGTTAATGAACTGAATTTATCTCAGGGCACTTTTGTACACACACAGCGGGTCTGGACTGTTAGTCTTTCTGATAGTATTTACAGGGGCCCACCACGAGCGAGAGAAACTGCCTTTTTACAGGTAGAGACCATCTGCCTCCACCAGTTGGGTTTAGAGAAGGGGGCTGGGGGGTCGATGCTGGTGGGGCAGGGGGAATAAGAGGTTATACATAGAGTTATATAATATAATAATCATAATGGGATAATTACTGATAATTTAGAGTAGCAGGACAATTAATATAACTAATAATAATAGGTTAAGAATAAAACCCGTAGCATCGGGTGTTCAACAGGATCATAAATTCATAATCAATGTTGAGATAATATTAAACCATTTATTCATTTTCTATCAAATGTGTGGCTAGAGTCTTTTTCAGGTTAGATATAAAAGTTACATCTCACAGAATAAACACAAACTACTGCAGAGACACAATGAGCAGCTGCTGGAAATACAATGAGTGGAAAATGAGGGTGTGAATGAAATGGAATAAAACAAACTAAAAACATGAAATGAAAATGGATTGAAACATCACTCATCATTTTCTTTTCTTTCATTAAGTTAAACTAATTCTGTTTCTGTTTCTTTGACATCACTTCTTTTTTATGCTGATTGCGGATTTAGTTTGTTTTCCTCTCATGTAGAAATTTTTCCATTTCAGCCTATAATCAAATCTGCAGTTTTACTCCTGTTTTCGCAACATGCTGCAGCATTTTCCTCTCGTGGCCGGACTTCTCTGAAGCCAGATTCTATTTTTTATTTTGTACAATCATGCTCAAAGTATAAAAATGCTGATATAAGACCAGAGAGGGTTGTGAGCACACTGTGACTGATATCTAAAAGACTTTAACTCAAAGTTGTTCGATGAATATAAAGGACACATGAGACTTCTCAGACTGAACCTTCTTTAACATCTGATATGATTTACAAATGATACTTGAAATAAAATTGTTTTATAGAGTGACTTTTTGATCTCATGCTCAGGAGGGGCATTTTTTTTTTGGCTCTGCAGAAACACTTTTGGGAAGACTTAAAGAAATAAAAACCACTGCCTCAACAAATCTTCTTGGAAAGAAAAAGAAAAGGATGCTGAGTAAGCCTCCACACACCAGGTTATTTGTTAATGTTTGATGAAAGACGTGGACTGAAAACATCAGACCTAATGAGGTTGAAGATGAACGTAGGCCTGTTCTAAAATATGAAAACCAGTTAGGAGAAAGTCATGAAGGACCAGTATCCTCAGGCAAAATTGGGGCTATTGGGAGTTAATATCACTCCAGGAAACCTAAACTGATTGGGTTAGAAAAAGTGTCACAAGAAGAAAGTGTTGGATCTTTTACTGGGAGAAGCAGGAAATTGATTTTAAATTAAAATGTGTCAACAACAGAAATAGATGATGAAGAGAACTAAGGGAACTTACTGGATCAACAAGGAGGTTAACACTATGGCTACAACATTATTTCATTGTTCTTTGATAAATTGGCAATTCTCCTGATAGAAAATGAAATATATCAATGCCACACATCAGTGGCTGTTGTGCAGTGGCAGTGACAGACTTTTCTTTAATTTCACTGAATAAGGTTTAATGTCACAATTGAGTTTTCTGTCTCCACTGTCCCCTGATGTTCTCTGGTTTCTCTATAATATTGTTAGGTTTCGACCTCACTATGTAAAGTACCAGGGGATACTACATGTGATTGGGCGCTGTACAAATAAAACTGAGTTGAATTGTATGTCAGCTGATAAACTCGTTAGAATTACGCGAATAAAAACAACATTTTGGAGCCACTTTTCCCTGCTCTATGTGGACTCTCATGTTAAACCCATTAAAGATAATATCTGTCCTCAGATCAGACTTCAGTCCACCGGGAGTCAGCTGCTCTCTCCTCTCCAGCGGACTCTGTGTCCTCTGTACACGGGCGCACGCTGCGCTGCGCTTACATAACGCTCCGCCTGTTTTATCACGACGCACCGTTAACGCAGCTCCACGACGCGGATCTTATTTCTCCTGACATTTCGCTGTGCCGGTCGTTCGTTAATTACGCACACCGGAAAAACACAGCTCGCACACAAACGAATGAACCGAGTAATTGGAGTTAAATAGGCCTGAGGTGGCTTTTACGCAGCGTCACGACCACACCGCGTCACACGGGTGATGGTCAGGGGGGTTTGGGGAGGGAAATGCCTCTCAACGAGGGATCTCGGGACCTCCAGGGGTCCTCGAGTGGGGCTCCGGGAGGTCCTGCAGTAAATAAAATATTTTTCAGAGAAAATGAAACAACACGGAACAATCCAGTTTAATTTATGCGGAGCCAATGTTTCCAAGTACAGGATTATCTTCCATGAGTGTTTTGTTTGTATACGTGCAGATTAATAAAATAGGAGATAACATGGAAAGTATAAAAAAATTTTATGGACAGCATAAATGTATTTGTTTGTAAGTGTGTGTGTGGCTGATGTTATTTGATATAATGTGAAAACCTCGAGTCCTCGAGTAGGAGACGGAACGAAATCATCCAAATACGCGCGTGTTCCCTATAAAAGATGGACAGAGGAAAAAATGTGTGCGTGTTCCCCCCGCTGTGCCCCTCGCTGCTGCACGCACCACGAGGAGAGGACGCGGTCTGGCAGCGCCTCCTGCTGGTTACAAGGAGGTGTTGAATAATCTCTTAAAGGGGATGTCTGGGAAGCCGGAAGAGGTTTTTAAGGTGGACCGGTGGAGTTAAAACAGCACGACGAGCACGTTTATATATATCTTCAATAAAAGGGAAACATGTACCCAAAACGAAAGACTGTGTTTTACGCATATTCAGCCTCTTAACGCAGACTCTCAGCCTCAGTAAGAGTCCTGGGAGGATTTATAGTCTCAAGCTGGCAATCTAATCTTTATTTAAACAAGTTGAAAAATACCAGTTGACAACACAATTTCCAGATTAAAACGGTGTTTTTAAGAGATTTTCCTTGAACAAATAACATCACACGTCAACATCAACCCATGCAAAGTGATCCCTTAAAGCAATGATCAACAAGGAGGATGTGTCCTTTACTTATATACAGCCTATAGAGGTAAGGTATATTTTTACAGCACATTTCACGAGCTCTACATAAAATATAAAATGCACCATGACGAATTGTAAAACACAAAAGGAAGTATTTAAAAGTTATCAAAAGGTTGCATTGAGAATTAAAATAACTAAACAATAAAAAAGGGAAACAATAGAGGGAAATGAATGAGTATTTTTTTTTTTTGATTTAATAAAAGGCAGTGGCAAACAGGAAAGTATTCAGCATTGATTTTAAAGAGTTGCAGCAGACCTGCACTTCTCTGGCAGCTTGTTCCACATATGTGGAGCGTAAATACTGAATGCTGCTTCTCCATGTTTAGTTGTGACTCTTAGACCCGTCCCTGACGACCTGAGGGGTCTGGAAGGTTCATGACGTGATAGTAGATCAGAAATGTATTTTGGTCCTGAACCACTCAGTGCTTTATAAACCAACAACACGATCAAATGGTCCATTAGATTCATATTTCTTCATGTTCTGTATTGGACATTGCATCATGGCTCGTTCAGTTCGGTTGGAAGATGATCCGTAAATATTACCCCTCAAATATATCTTAGTACCAGAATAAAACGTGAATTTTATTACTTCCCATGTTTTTCTTTCGTTGATTTAAAGTTGACGAAAGAGTAAAAATCAGATTGTGGCCCTGAAGTGGTCCAACCTGAGCTGGAGGTCATAACGGAACCAAATCAGGTTATGTGATTTCCTTTATGGCTTTGACCTCGCACTCGTGAACGTGTTGTCTAAAAATAAAGAAATCACCTCCTTCCTGTGGTATCGTTTGAACATACATGAAGCATGTGGCCAGAGCTCAGTGTGAAACAAGAGAAATACCAAACATGATATTTGCTGCGCTGTTTCCTTGCCTCATTATTAAGCCACATATTTAATTATGTGATGACCAAAGACTCTGCAGATCACACCGTACCACCTGATTAAGTTGCCCTGGAAACTGCTTTATTTTGCGTAAAAGCTGCTTAAAATCCACAACTCAACTCTGCCAAACTTTACGAGGAGACCCCATGTGCGATATGCACACAACTGTCATAATGTATGTCATTTATCATATTTATATTTGATATTATACATATTAAATGTGTAAATCATATTTAAAGTGCACAGGGTCATTTATTTAAAACAGCAACCATAGGTGAAACTGCATTAGTGACCAATTCTCCCTCAGCAGCATTACGATTGTTGAAAAGAGGACTCACTCACGTCCTTATTAGGATTTAAAAAAAAATATGCCACGTAACTTCTCTATAGAAGTTATAACACTATATCAACAGATCAGTATTATTCCTGTTTGATCCACAGTCAGTGAACTCAGCTCCCTCCTTCGTCGCACCCCGTGTTTTGCTTGGTTTGCATACAGTCGCTGTCTGTGTTCTCACCTCACACACCTTGTATGCACAGTTGTTTTGTGACTACACTTGTTTGTTTCCTCCTCTGCTCTCAGTCTCAAACCTGTACACGTCCTGATTTGATGCACATTCTTCTCCTCAGCCACTTTTCTCGCTGCGGCCTTTTGGAAACTTTACGCACAGACATGCTCGGTTCTTTTGTTCACATGCTCGTATCACTGCATCCGTTTTTCAACCCCTCGTCCGCGGCTCTTAATCCGACAGGTAACGAGAACTCACCGTGGTTCATCGGGTGCGTCCGCCCCAGCGACTCCTCTCGTGTCCGGCTGTATTCCCCCAAGGGAGCCCATGACCTTGACCCGGTGCTCTGCTCCGTGCGCTGTCTGGATGACGGGTGAGTTTGGCCAAAAGAGCAGCTGAGGCAAAGAAGATAAAGACAATTGGGTTTATTCTTGTGTAAATGACATTGAAAATCCACGTATTGCTAAAATACACAGAGAAATAACTAAAAACGTATATATGAAAAAAGAAAAATATATTATAAATTCCTCAAACAGATGCCTTAGTTGTGCAGCTGTAATTATACATTTTCAATTTTAAGAGGCTTTACCAGAGAATTTAAAGACCAACACCAGGGTAGTTTTTCAAATGATGGAAGCATATTTTTCTGCATTTATATAATCAAAAATTCAGATGATTAACAAATATACAATAGTATACAAGTATATATAAGTATAACAATATACAGAGAGTATATTTAGAGATATTTTCAAATAACCAAAAAGCTTTAAATCATGAAGATTGGCCTCAACGTTCAGGCTTTTTGACAACTGAAACATTAATTTAGAAATAAGTACATTTTTTATTATTTATAAAAAGATGTATTCTATTACTGCCATGACTAACACCAACTTTAGTAACTGTTGACATAAGCCATGTCAACATGAACACACAGTTTTGTATATGTGTGTGTTGGATGCATGTACAACTTATTGTAAGTGTTTTATAATAAACATTATATTTGGTTGAAGGTACCAGGTGGCAGCGTTGACTTTTGAGAGTTGTTACTGTGGCAACCACCAGAAACATGGTTTGGTCTTCAGTGAGTGTTTCAACACATCTTCCAGTGAAGAGTCAGAGAGTGAAAGACAGAGGTGAGACCCACTTTTTACTTTCAATATCAAACCACAACTTCTGCCACTGAAGATACAAAACTCTGCGTTACTCTTTCTTTCAAGTCAAATCTATATAGTTTTATGTTCGTTTCAGAATTTGCACCCACTGTGCACAGTCACTGAAGCTTGTTGTGCTTAGATTTGTTTTCTCTTTTCTTGTAAGTGCTCTGAATTTGCCTGTTGGAGGTGGACAGGGGACTGTGGCTCTCTACAGAACCGAGGGACCGTTTCTTCACAGCATTAATGTGTCGTCTCCTGCAGACAGAGTGCAGCCTGGGAGAACTTTTGTTGTGGAGGTTTCTGGAAACTTAGCTGGACGTCCCAACCAGCCCACAGGTCGACTGATACTGTGTTTTACAACAAATTCAAGATTCTAAGAACTTTAGATTTTTCTCTTATTCACTAACAGGAAATGCATTTTAAAATACTTTGTGTATCAATTCTTGGCCAAAATTATATGTAACATTTTCCTCACAGTTTTATATATGGTATGGTGTATATATTCTATTTTACACAAGAAAAAGTTATTAATTATCATTAAAAATAATTATACAGACGCAGGGCTGCTTCAACTTCAGACAAAATATTTAAAAGGCAATATTTGTGCAGTCCATGTTAATTTATTTATTTATTTGTTTCTTTTTTAAAGTTCTGTCCTTTCAAAAAAAATTATGTACTGTAAAACATTCAAAGCCACAAAATAATCATATTTGGATATAAACTAAAAGCAAGTTACATTAGAATAACTGACTAACTATTTAATTATATATATATATAATATTTGTGTTTTGCTTAAGAGTTTTTCAGTCAGACCGTCCTTGTGAATACATTTTTATGCAAAAAATAAAATCTGCTTATACAAAAAAATACAAATCTAGTAAATATATCTCTTTGATTAGTGTTTACATGATTGAAAAAAACAAAGGAACAGTATATTTCAGTGTTTTGTTTTTCTTTTTTACATTGAGATACCTTTCTGTGATTTTCAGGAGTTCCTAGTCTGGCAGGACGGGACCTCTCTTTTGTCTCTGTGGAGTTCCTGGACACGTCTGCGAAAGGTCAAAGTTCACATCATGTCAGCATTTTGGATGATGGCTCCTTTTTTGTGTCAACGGACTGGATTTTGGAAACTCCAGGAAAATATGAAATCAGTAAGAGAAAATTTTAATTAATGGAAGAAAAAAAATGCATTAAGAAAATTTATTATTTTGTGTGAAAACTGTCTCTTTTTTATTTTTCTACAGATGTCAGAGTCTCCAACCTCCTCTCCACGCTCTTCTCCACACTCCAGCTCTCCGTCTTGCAGCCCTCTCCACAGATATCTCTGCTCCACGGGCCCCTGGGCGTCCCCTCCTGCCAACAGCCCACCTCGCACAGTATGACCACACAGACAGCCTACGTGGGCGACCCTGTCACGCTGCAGGCATATGTGGGAGAGGGTCCGGCAACAGGGTTCTGCTGGTGCTGTAATCACAAAGAGAGAGAGGAAGAGAGAACATGTGTAAAGACCACCTGCATCCCCAACTCTGAATGTCTGAACAGCACTTTGGTATGGAGGACAAAAATATTATTATATTACATGATATGTTTGCATGAAAGGATCATTTATTACATAAATAATATACAGTGATTTTTCACAGCAACAAAACTCCATTATCTGAGAAACATGAGGCAAATTTGGTAATGGTGGTTTTAAATAACAGCAATGTAGACTAGTGAAGAAATAAAACACAAATTATTTCAATATGAATATTTGATGATCTAATGTGTTTTTATCTCACTTTCATTATCTGCTTCTCTTCTCATGTTAAGATAATGGAGGTGTTGCATTTTTCCACGGCTGTTTGAAAGTGAATCAACGTCCATCGAAGACTTAATGATGGTTATTTACATGTTGCCAAATATGTGATTGCAGAAAAGTTTTCCACAACAAATCAATTAAAACTGAGGTTTTTAGTAAAACGGACAGCAGCTGTGGTCCTACCCAAGATTTATAAATAGAAGGTTTCTAATGTACCTTTTACTCTGGTTTTACTCAAATTAAATTATGTTCAGAAGTCACAGAGGTCAAGGGTCAACAAAAAACACAAAAGCATCATAACTACAGTCATTAGCTTCCCCTCTTCCTCCCTGAATAAGAGACTGTGATACTGGATAAAACATTTTTGTTGTTGCATTAAATAATCTTCAATGTTTTTTTATATGACAAGAGGAAATATTTGCTTTAATTAACTGCAGACCTGGACATTTAAAACAGAGGGAGTTCACACAGTGACAGTGAACATCTCCAGTATCACTGGATGGACTCAGCAGACAATACGTGTGGCAAGTATTCTGTTTTCATTCACTAAGCATAATATCCTGACATGGAATTATTGATCATTATTGAAAATGCTGGAAATACCACATTTTATCTTATTGTCAATAAATCCAAAACCAACAATGTTTT